CAATAACTCGTACCTCCGCCTTAGAGGGAAGGCATTTACAGTAAGGTATGTGAACAAGGATTCACTGGAGCTCACAGCAGTCGTGATGAAGATGAAGGGTATGTCAGTGCCAGTGCCACCTGCAAGAGCTGCGATAAGACGTTCCGTGAGTTGCCCGCCAGAAAGTGGAAGGTTTGTGCCTGTACGTGTTCCAGATGCATTAATTGGAAAACAATTGCTTGTTGAGGGACTTGGATATTCTGTGATCTTGCCACGCGAAGTTATTAAGCCCTCGTCTAAAGAAGCCGTGGTATGGGTTGTTAATCCGACACTCAATCCAGTCAAGCTGAGAAATGGAACGCACCTGGTCGAACTTCATGAGGTTGAGGAAATGTGTGACACCTGAAGCACCTGGCAATGTTGCATCCATTGCAGACACTCCTGTGGCAGCCGTACCTACAAGTGCCTTGGAAAAGATTTCTCTCCAACATCTGTCTGATCACCGTAAGTCTCAGGTGTGTAAGGTTCTTGCCCAATACCCACGACTCTTTTCAGGTGATAAGTTTGCTATTGGGGAAGTTCCAGACATTGTACATGAGATCCCAACACAAGAGAAGCATCCTTTGTGTCAGCGTCAGTGGCGTCTTCCTGAAGCAGCTAAAAGGCACATTCGTGAGGAGTGTGAACAAATGCTCAAGGCCGGAGTGATTGAACCTTCTTCGTCCCCGTGGCTGTCACCTGTAGTCCTTGTGAAGAAAAAGGATGGCACATTGAGGTTCTGTGTGGACTACAGGAACCTGAATTCTGTTACTATAGCTGACAGCTACCCACTACCCCGGATGGATGAACTTCTGGATGAACTAGGAGGAACTAGTGTATTCACTTTACTGGACTCTCGCTCCGCCTACTGGTCCATCCCGGTGAAGCCTGAAGATCGTCCAAAAACCGCATTTTCAGATGGACATCGGCTATACCAGTTCCGTCGCATGCCATTTGGATTATGTACAGCTCCATCTACATTCCAAGGACAGTCAACCTTGTTTTGTCACCTGTTCTAGGTAAGCACACCATTGCATATTTGGATGATATAGTTGTGCATAGTGCCACTTTTGAGGAACACATTAAACACCTTAATGAGACTCTGCTACTGTTGGATAAGGCAGGGTTTAAATTAAATCTGGAAAAATGTGATTTTGCCGTGAGTAATTTCAGATTTCTTGGCTACCGCGTCACTCCACAGGGTTTCCTGCCAGACCTGAGAAGGTGAAATCCATTGAAGAAATGCTGCCTCCTAAGAATCAGAAAGGGGTACGCAGATTCCTTGGTGCTGCTGGATTTTTTAGGAAATTTGTACCGAAATATGCAAAGATTGCAGCACCCCTCACCAGACTAACCAGAAAGGATGTGCGGTTTGTGTGGGGACCAGACCAAAGGGATGCTTTTATTAAACTGAAAGATCTTCTAATAACTGCTCCAGTTTTAGCCAAACCTGACTTTGAGAAAATTTTTGAATTGCATACAGATGCATCACAGGTAGCTATAGGTGCATGTCTTATGCAGACTGATGACCAAAAAATGAGCTTCATCCTATAGCCTACTTCAGCCGCAAACTACGTGGTGCAGAAACCAGGTATAGTGCCACCGACCTTGAAGCACTTGCAGTTGTGGAAAGCGTGAGGCATTTTGATGCTTACCTGTACGGACGACGCTTCACGGTGCTTACTGATCATCGTCCCCTCACGTATGTATTCTCTAGAAGAACTAAAAGTCCACGGATGAGCCGCTGGAGTGCAGAACTGGCAGACCATAACTTCCAGATTAAATATAAGCAGGGTCGAATCAATTATGTCCCTGATATGCTCTCACGTGATGTTGCACCCATATCCCTTTCTTCTCCAGATCCTTATGCAATGAGGGTTGAGCAACTAAAGGACCCCTTGTTGCACGAAATTGTAATGTTCTTGGAAGAAAGAGCGGTGCCCCAGCAACGACCGCCATTGCCCCTGGACGAGTTTGAACTAAGAAATGGAGTCCTGTATAGATTAAGGCATCTCCCAGAACGAATTGTCGAGCAGCTCGTTGTGCCAAGGACTCTACGTAAGGATGCGATAAAAATTGCTCATGCATCCCCTATTGCAGCACATCATGGCATTTACCGTACTTACAATAAGCTACGTGATTTGTTCTACTTCCCTAACATGCTGGGAGAGACTCGTAAGTACGTATCGTCCTGTAAAACTTGTCAGAAGAGGAAGGGCATAGGTAGGCGTGCCCCTTTGCAGCATGCACCTGAAGCTGTGCATCCCATGGAGCGTGTCAGTGCTGATTTGGTGGACTTGCACAGCTCTTCGAGTGGGAATCGCTATGTCCTGGTAATGGTAGATCAGTTGACAAGGTACCTACAGCTCGTACCTTTACCCAACAAGGAAGCAGAGACAGTAGTAAGAGCTATAATTGATCATTTCATTACTCTATTTGGTCCACCACGATTGCTTCAGACTGACGGCGGTCTTGAATTTAATAATGCCCTCTTTCGCAGTGTATGTGAGGACCTGACCGTTCAAACTCACGTTACAACCGCTTTCCATCCACAGGCAAACGGTCTTGTAGAAAGAACGAATCGGGTTGTAAAAGATGCTCTTGCAACATTGGTAGAAGACCAACCCCTAGACTGGGATCGGTACATACCCCAGGTACGTTTTGCCATAAATTCTGCCATCCACAGGGCTATCGGAGATCAGCCCCTTTACTTGCTGACAGGCCAGCCAGGCCATTTCCCGGTTGGTTTGAGCAACCATGTTACAGCAGGAGAAGATGCTCATTGCAAGCTACGTGAGGCCTTGGATGTTGCGAGGAAAGCAGCGCAGGAAGCATCCCGTAAGGCTCGTCAGGAATACGCAGCATATCACAACCGTAACCTGAGGCCGCCCTGGTCCTTAGAAGCTGGGTCCCTGGTCCTCTACAAGATAAAGACTACGCAAACAGGACCTGATCGTGCTTTAGGGCCCCGGTGGCAAGGCCCTGCGAAGGTCGTGAAGAAGTTGGGCCCTGTTAATTACGTCGTTCAGGACCTGTCTCCCCCGTTTTCGAGCGTAACTGCCACGCTAACCAGCTGCGCCCATTTAAGCTGGAGGAAGAGCTGACGTTCCCAGATGCGTCACCATACCATGACCCTGATTACGTCGACCCATGGTTACCTGACGACGCGGAGCCAGGTGCAACGATGTTGCTTTCAGCAATACGTCCATCCCAACATGCACCTCAGTCGTGGTAAGACTGGGTATGGTAAGGTATCATCACTTCACCATCAGAAATTCACATTTATTACATCCTTCCCTGCAGACCACAGCAATACGTCTACTTCGTGTGGGCTCTCGAGCGAGACTGACGTTGCTCGCACGACGAACTCTGCTCGCCCATACCTGGAACTACCGGAGTGCCCAGGACCACCGCTTCTGTAGTTAGCTGGCCTGAGATCCCGCTTTTATTTTTGTAAATTTATTTTTGTATTTGTAATTTTTATTTGTTTGTAATGCTTTTATTGTTTTAGAGGGAGCAGGCAGCGTTTCTTTTATTTAATTTTATTTCCTTTAGTTGTAAGCTTTCGTTTTAAGTATAGTTTTAAGTTTGGTTTTAGTTTAAGGCATTACTTTTAAGTCTTTAATTTTAAGTTTCATTTAGGTTAAGGGTTTTTAGTTTTAGTTTTTAAGGTTTAGGTTTATTTAGTTTTAAGGGTTATTTTAAGTTCCTTTCCTGGTTTTCGTTCTTAGCTTTTTTTTTTTTTTTTTTTTTTAGGAGGTCGTGATCCCTCTCTCTGTATATTCCTGGGGTTTGCAATCATGTACTCGCCTGCCGTCTCTTGCAAAGGATGAATATACTAATCCTCTCTCCTTTCAGATCTGACTGATTTTTTTATGGTGCTTTGACTCGCTAGTCTGTCGACAGTTCGAGTTCCCCTCGACCTGAGCGCCCAGCACAGCCAGCAACCTCCCTTTGACGTCATGGCTGCCAGTCTGAGGTCGGCACACGCCCGGCGACCCGTAGGCCTGGCTAGGGAGGCCCTGTGACCTGGCTCTTCACCTGGCGGAGCCAGGTGGACAGCCAGGTCAATGAATGCTAATGCTGTCTTCGGAAAATTATAAAGGGGGGAAGAAGGGTGAATAGCCATGGGAGAAAGAGGGAGCTAACAGAAAGAGAGAGAGAGAGAGAGAGAGAGAGAGAGAGAGAGAGAGAGAGAGAGAGGGAGGAGGGAGGGAGGGAGAGAGAGAGAGAGAGAGAAGAGAGAGAGAGAGAGAGAGAGAGAGAGAGAGAGAGAGAGAGAGAGAGAGAGAGGGAGGGAGGAAAGGAGAGAGTGAGTGAGTGAGTGAGTGAGTGAAGTGAGTGAGTGAGTGAGTGAGTGAGTGAGAGAGTGAGAAAGGAGAAAGAAAGAAAGAAAGAAAGAAAGTAAGTAAGTAAGTAAGTAAGTAAGTAAGTAAGTAAGTAAGTAAGTAAGTAGTGAGTGAGTGAGTGAGTGAGTGAAGTGAGTGAGAGTGGGAGAGGGAGGAGAAGGGGAGGGAGAGGAGAGAGGGGGGGGGAGGGGAGGAGAGAGGAGGGGGAGGGGAGAGAGAGAGGGGAGGAAAGAGAGAGGGAGGAGAGGGGGAGGGAGAGAGAGAGAGGGGAGGGAGAGAGAGAGGGGGGAGAGGAGGAGAGGGAGGGGGAGGGAGGGAGAGAGGAGAGGAAGGAGAGGGGGGAGGGAGAGAGGAGAGAGGGAGGAGGGGAGAGAGAGAGGGGAGGGGAGAGGAGAGAAGGGGAGGGAAGAGAGAGAGGGAGGGAGAGAAGAGAGAAGAGAGAGAGGGGGGAGGGGGACCAGAGAGGGGAGAGAGGGGGAGGGAGAGAGGGGAGGGAGATGAGCGAGGGGGAG